TCATCTAGTTAGAGGTGAAATATCACAGTACACACACACACACCACGCACGCACAGTGCTCTCTGAAATTTTAATCTACTTAACCCCATTACATAGTAAGAGATAATGCTGCACATACAATTGCTGAGTCGGTAGTGGTGGAACGAGGCAAGCAGCAAATCAAAAAGCAGTACTTTTTTTTTCTGCTGTAGGTAGGAGCAGCCTGCTGTAGATGCACCACGGCTTTGATCAGCTGTCATGTCCTTGATTGGGGGACACAACGCTGGTGCTATTTTTCCTTCTTTACCCTTCCTTTTTCTTGGGGGGGCTGTGGAACTCTTTTATTCCTTTTGCTATCTTCTTTGCATTTTATCTCTACAGGGACAATTTTATCTATGTTGGCTGTATGTTCTTTGTCCTCTTTATTATGTCTTCTTTTCTCAGGGTTGCATTACTTTAGTGATTGTTATGGTTTGAGGAAACCACAACATTTTATTGTCATTTAGACAACTACTCTGTCACCTGATGACCCCTCCCCACCTGGTAAGGGAAATCAGGAAAAAAAAAAAAGAAACATGAAGGCTGAAATATAAATAGTTTTAATAGGATGAGACTAAATTATTAACACTAATAATACTAAAGAACCAATATTGATCCCGATACAAACATAAAATATACGAAGATTATACTCAGCCCATTCTATCAGTAGGATGCTGCGCACTCCCAGCAGTGGACAGCAAATGTTGGACGCTCTGAGCTCTATGGCTTCAGGAAGAAGGGAAGGGCTCAGGGGTCTGGCACCTGGGCAAGAAGTTCTCAGGATGGCAGTCATCGAGGAAGAGAGCACTTCACAGCAAACTCTCTGATGTATATTGAATGTGATGTTCGTGGTATGAAATAATCCTGTTGGCCAGCTTGGGTCAAATGTCCAGGTCTCGCTCCTCCGCATCCCCATACCTGGCTAACTCAAAAACACTGAAACCCATGCACCATAGCTGGCGATAAAGTAACTATCTTCACAAACTTGGACACTAGCGTCTTCTAAAACTGCAGTTTTCCCAAGCATTAGAAGAGAAATTAGTCCTGTTTTGTTTAAACCAGGACAGTGATCAGTAATTGATACTTTGTGATGTGTGTTTATGCTCTTGTGGGCCACTGGTATCATCTTGTGTTGGTACACTTCGTCCCCCTGTGATCAACCTCTTCTTGTAATCTCCACGGCCCATAGACACATTGAAAATTTTATTGAAGCTGATTCTCAGAACATACCCCATTTTCAGACTTTTTTTTACCCAAGGTTATGGTACTATGTGAAACAACTCTTTCTTCAAGTATGTCTTGGTACCTTCTATTAATTTTCCCATGAGACATAACTCGCTCAATGAAGTTTTTTCTTCCCAAATCTGAGCATTATGTATTCACTAGAAGCCAGGTCAAAAAAAGAAATGAGTTGGAATGGGGAAATATCTAATTGTATTATTGTTTGGTTTGAAAGCAGAGGTCAAATTTTATAACTTTCTGCTTAGGAAAAAATGAAATAATCTTATATGAGCAGACTGTATGGATGCCTGTTTTCCACAGCCTTCTGAAACTCTTGACACACTCATACAAACTGGCTGAAGGCCTGAAAGGTGGATTGTCCCAACAAGATTATCAGAAATAAGCAATGAAGAAAAAGAGGAAGGCCTTCTATGTGTTCACCTCTTAGAAACATCAGAAAATCCCCACAGCAACCAGTAAAACTACAGGAAAAAATTTTCAGATCTGCTGCCAAAATCTACCAATTTCTATTATGAAAGTGGTTGTGGAGCCTTTTGTATTCACCCATCCCAAGGTCAGCAAAATTCATTCTTACACACACACAAAAAAGGAAGCAGACTTGAAAGCAACCTAAACGTAGATTTCCCATCTGACTGCTAAAAGTTACGTTATTTGTTGCCTGTTTTCCTACTAGGGCTACACAGCTACATAAAGCAGCACCAACTCTGAGGACCCCCCGGGCCCTGCCCCGGGCTGCAGTCCTTCAGGGACAACCTGCTCCCGCCGGGGCTCTCCACGGCCGCAGCTCCTGCAGGAAAGATCCCCCCGCTGCGGCCTGGGGCCCTCCCCGGGCTGCAGGCTGGCTCTCTGCTCCAGCGGGGTCTCTGCAGGGCTGCAGGGGATCCCTGCTCCGGGCCTGCAGCACCTCCTGCCCTCCTCCTCCTCCGCCCTCGGGCTCCCTCTGCTGCTGCTCCCCCCTGGGCTTCCTCCTCCTCTGCCTGGGCCATGTTTCACCCTTCCTGCACTTTCCCCCAAGCCCTCCGCACACAGGCCGCCCCGCAGCCCCACTGCTGCCAGCGCCGGGGCACGGACACCCCCTACAATCCCAGATGTAGATTTTTTAATGAGCAATCCAGAAAACGATCCCTATTCATCCGCATGGGCCTATAACTATTGGGTGACATCAAGAGGTAAAACATAATACTGTGTTTTTCACAGTCAGCTGGTGTAATTAGGAATTTATAGTGAATCGGGGTATATTGCAAAATAAGTTGACATTTTTGTACTCCATTTACCAGAGTAGAGCTGATTAAGTAGATTTCAGGGCTGAGAGGCTTATATCATGGAATAATTTATTCTGGAATTGGAAAAATCAAGTCAATGCACAAAATGAAAAAAGAAAAATCCAAGATAATACTACAATAGATCAGATCATGCCCAGATTCAACCTTGGTTTAAGTCTATGTGATACATACATTTTATTTTCAGCTTTCAGTATATACAGCATTAGTATAAAACTCCATTTTTTTTATCCTATATCTGTTTCAAATTGCAGCCAAAGAAAATGCATCAGTTCAACCCATCAGCCTAAGCTGATGGATATATTCTGCTCCTCTTCAGTGCATTTTAAGATGGACTATTTATCTTTATCTTACATGAAACATCTGTGGAGAATCATAAAGCATTTTAGCATGGCTGAAACATCACAGAATTCAATAGCAATGTTTTCTTTCTAACTAACTGCTGAGTTTTATTTCATTATGTTCTTCACAGTCAGGGAAACAGCACTTCCAAAGAATGTCTCATGAACTTGCTACATGCTGAGGGATATTATGGGCACAATCGGAAAATAGATTGCTACTTAACATATTTTTAATGGAGTTTTAGAAGTTCAGTTATAAGTGCAGCTTATTAGTTTTCCATCTTAACTACGAAAACAATATTTAACCACAAAATATTCTTTGATTCTTCCTGAGTTTGATTTTCTTGCTCTATCCCATTTGGCTAGAAGCAAAAGCTGGTTTGGATCAGAAGCATTTTGTTTCTGCAGGACCAAATGAAGCCTTCATTTCCAGAGAAATAGTTTCAAATTCATTAGCACGGTAAGATAGGTCACTCAACTTTGTTTTTGCTTGGGATTTTCTTTGTTTTTGAAATAAAGGTGAGCTTAAAATTGGTAAAAACCCAACGTTATCTTTGTATACTATAGAATTGAATGCTAATTGCCCAACTAAAAAGCCAAGAGAGATGTTCAAGCACATCTATATCCTCACATCAGCTGCATTATATACAACGGAGCTAACGAGGCTTGATTTCCTATGGTTTTCTGTTGCATGTCCGCTACATATTCCTCGTTTCAACAGCTTCCCGACCCAGAAATATTTTTTGCGACCCCACCTCTGCAAAATTCCACTGTCTTCTCCATATCCACCTTTTGCTTCCATAGTAACTCAAGGTCTAACCATATTTCCTGAACAATTCCCAGGCTCTCCTTAGCCTTTTCCCAGGTTCCCAGAGGTCTACCATTACAACTCCTACTTTCTCTAACTACCACCTAGGCAAGAATGCTAACATGCACAAAGAGTTCATTTACCAACATGTTGATTAGCTGAGTGACTACTGCTAGAATAGGTAACGGCTGAGTTCTCTCTTCCAAACAGCAGTTGCATGAAGAGAATCCCTTTATACTACTCAGTGACGTTTTTCACTCAATTTAGAGGAGCTGAGTATTTCTTTGGCCTTTCTTTTCTGTCAAATAGGGTGTAAGTAACAGAAATGTCATTCAAAATGAGCACTAAGAATGACATGAGCCTTATTTTCTCAGGAAACCAGAAAAAAGAGGAAAAAAAAAAAGAAGAGAAAAACAGAAGAAATTTGGTCTTGCCAAATTGCAATAATTTTCTAATGTAACCCAGTGTACTTTGTACTTTTGTGCTGTCCTGTTTCACTCATGGGGTGATCCAGAAGCTGTGAGGAAAAAAATATGATAATAGAGTCTCTGGTTGCTAAAAAAGGGCTGGAGGGTAGGGAAGGAGATGTTCAACCTTATTTCATCCAACAGCTAAAAATTAGCATTGGTATTTTTAGGGGATCCTGAAAAAGATGGATCAGTTTAGAGTAGCTGCGGGAAGAGGAACAAGACCGGACTGGCTGATTTCTCCCAGCTTCTCCATGGTGCCACATCTGAGATACTGTGTTCAGCATTATTCTCTCCCAGAATCCTTAAGGAATGGCATTGTTACACCAGCTCCAGAATCCGGGAGCTCTGCATTACGCTGGAAAATTCACTGATGAATGGTAGGTTACAGCAATATCTCTCACTCCCAGAATATATTGTTTTCTTTTACTGTTGTCCTTCATGAAAAAGAAAACACTGAAGGAATACACAGAGATTTTTGCTGTCTTCAATTTAGTCAGAATAATAGTAAATCTTGTTACAAATGCTTCCTTCCTTCCTTTTTTTTTCTACAATAATATGCCATCTTTCAAACTAGACAGTAAATTCTTTGAAGAAACAATGTCTGACTTATATGACTGCTGTTCTGATTTGAGACTTACTAAGTAAAAAACCTACAAGAAAAGAATGTATATAGCAATACACTAACAGAAAACACAGCAGAAAATACCAGCATAACAAAGTTTATGATAAGAACTGTAATAATATTTCCAACTTCAGCTATATTATTCTTACTTTTACACATAGCGTCATGAAAGCAACTCAAGCATAAACAACACATACAGAAGGAATATTTAAGAATGTTTCAAATTAAGGGAGGAACATCATCATTATTTTCAAAATCAACATAACACTTCTTAGTCTCTGTAGTCTTCTCTGGTTTCAGTCTAATAGGTCCCTGACCAATTCGTTCCTTTCCTTGAATTATCTTTGTCACATCAGGGAATGAATATTTAGTGGGATCCACTTCTAATTTCTCAACTTGTATGCTCCTGCAACAAGAGGAAAACAAATGGGAAAAAAACTTAATTTCAGTGTCAAATAGAAGAGAATTATTTTGGGTGCCTGTTTATAAACCTGTTGACTTAAATGTGAGCGTTGTTATTGAGTCCAATTAAACCAAGATTAAGAGTTCTAATTACTTGAAATTTGATTATTATAAAAAACACATTGTAAACACAAAGTACTACAAAATCTCTACGATTCAGTACAAAAGAATCCTTAGCCTAAAAACATCAAAAGTTAATTTTTTTACATCTATAATTTGTTTTATATCAGAGCATGGTGATTGCTGGTATCACATTACAAATGGTTGGCTTTTGATGTCAGACCTTTTTTTTAGTATAATTGTTTTTTCATTCCTGTTTCTTTCTGTCAATTTTTGGCACAGTTCCTTCACAGTAGCTGTCGATTAATTTCTATGTGACAGACTCATCTTTGGAAAGCAGAAATACTTTTATTGAAAGAGAAAATGTAATTGTACTAATTTATTTCCTTTTATCAGCCAATTCTTATGTTTTGGCATTATGGATCTTCACCATGTTTGTATTATGAAAAAAAATTTCAAATGAAAGTATAAGAAAAGTCAGAGTTATAACTGAGTTTCCAAAGGCTATTGCTATTAAGGATATTCTTTTAGATCACACTTAGAAATGTGTACAGTCCACTCATTAAGGCAACCTATCCACATCACACAGTGATCAAAGATTTGCAATATTCTCATTCTTTCTGTCTTGCAGCTTTAACACCACTGTTCTTTTCTAATAGAAGAGTTCAAATGGAAAAATCTAGTCCATTTTCAAGTAATTTGTAACTGTTTACAGGGAAAATGGTAAAATGGAAATTTAATTGTTCAGCCATGTTCTAATTTCTGCAAAATCCAACACAATTTGTACACCTTCATACTAATTTTCGTTTTATACTGAGTGCTTCTTTGGGTCAAAGTTCCAAGCTCAGCATTACAAAAGACAGTGCGCCAGTCTTCAAAGATGTGAGAAAACTACGTGTTTACCCAGGAGATCAGAAAGGCTCATTAGAACTGGAACCAACAAAAAAGCCACTGGATGAAAGAATGCATTGCTTTGATGACAATACAGGTAATGAAAATATGTAAATAAATCGCATTAAAAGATTGTTGACTGAAAATACACCAACTTTAGTTGTTAAAACAAAGAGAGAGCTTCCAAATTCCCCATCAAGGTTCCATGAGGTCTCAACAGACATCCCAGCCCACATCTGTGTTCAGGATCTCTGTCCCAGTGGAGGAAAGCTGCAGAGAGATTCATGGGAGTTTTTCTCCTCTACTCCTATGCCATGCCGAGGAAAGCATCGCTAACAGCTAACAGAAGAGGTAGTAATCAGCCTAGCCACCACTTTCAGCCTTATGTCACTAGATTTTTCTTGGTCTATGGGAATTATTTGCTCATTTTAGTGAGCAGAAAATGACCAGAGAAGCACCCTGCTTTAACAATCTGGATAACCTTTACAAAAAAATGACACAAACAAACAAAAACTACTCAGAGGAGAATTTTATGGGTAATGATGACGGATACAAGAAAACTCTTATTTCTTTATCGTAAATGTTCTTCATTTTATAAGGCTAGATTTTTTTCTCATACTACACAGTTAATTAAAGTAAAAGCGGATTCACTCTGTGGCAACAGTCTAGAAAATACTTATCCTTGAGGAAAAAGACATTTTTGTTTCCTGTGTAATTTATGAAATGCGCCGTGACCTGGAATCACTTTATCAGTAGTTGTTGGGGAGATTCCAAAGAGAGCACACTATGTCCAGAATCTCAATCTAATCACTAATCTGAAGCACTACAGAAAAAGCTAAAAAAGCGTAAATTTGAAAATTAATTAGCCTCAGCCTCTGCTTCCCTCACATGGTAGAAAAGATTTTCCTTGATTTGAAGTATTTTAATTAGTAGTGGTATTTTATGTTTGTTCAACAGCTCTAAAATTGTACAAATTGCTAGTAATGAAAATACAATAAATTCTATGGAGTTTGAAAAGCTTATTGCTTAGTAGCAGAATAAACTTCAATACACCAGAAATTAATTAACAGTGAGCATCATAAGTAACAGTCCACATTAACAAGCTGTGAAAGGATTATATGCGACGATCATTCTCAAAATTTAACCAGTACATGTTATCTAGAAGCATCTATTAGCAACAGAGAGTAGGAAAGACTTAGCATCGAGCACAGGTGATTTTTTTTCCAGAAAGGAAGTGGATTTTTATGTACTTATATGCACATGATCAAATGTTTTATACTTGTTTAGTAAAGCTTCATAGTGCTATCTCAGCTACCATGACACAAATATTTGGTTGACAACAAGACTCAGGTATGCTGAGGTCAGTGCAGCTACAACACACGCATCTGCTGAGAACCTGCTCCTCTCATCATGTAATCTGTGCAAAAAGAGGCTGGGTATTGATGATGTCAAGACTAACCACCTGAAATTTTTTGGAAGAAAGAATGAGTTTTAGGTCATCTAAACATTTTTTCCATGTAATTCTACCTAGCAGAATAAAAATAATCTTGTTGCTGAAGCTCTTCCATGAGTAATGGTAAAACAAGAGCAATGAAAACAGCAATACTTCTTGCAGGACCAGTCATGTGTCTAGGAATCTCAGTGTTTGCAAATCATTTCAATTTCAGTTTTTTTAAAAAAATGAAGTTCACAGTTTTTGGCACTGTTACCTGCTGCTGAGTGTTCTCTACTCACGGGAAAATTATGGCCTAAAGATTAGAGCACCATACAAAGTAAATAATACTGAAATAATCCTTTCTTTTTTCCTGGCATTTTTTTTTTCCTGGCATTTTTTTTTTCTATTTGCACATAGCACAACAATGCTTTCAAATAAGAAAACACAAACACAACCTCCTTCCATGTTTCATAACTATCGCAGCCTGCTTAACAATCTGGTGTGTGACAGACTACATATCTGATAATTTGATATTTTTTGATAATTTACGCTTTTGTTCACACAGTTCTTAATCCCCATATTTGATATTTTAATGATTTGACAGTTACATTCTCCTGTTTCAACTTCTGAATTTCAATAAAATTTAGATTGCTAAAGATTTCTCATATGTTTGATCCAGAATATATGGGTTTTGACATTTGATTGAAAGTTTCCTTTCTGGCACAAGGATTTCCAAAGATATTTACAAGTCACAACTGACAGCTTTGGAGAGGCACTTTTTCCAGTCTTTTAACATTGTGAATAAACCAGCACAAAAGTCTCAGAAAAATTACTAATAAATCCTTTTCTTGAATAATAATAAAAAAAAGTAATTTCTGTATATTGAATTATATCTTATTTGAGAGTTTTGAGAAAGACAAATCTTTATTTATGTGCATTAAAAACTGATGGTAGATGTCTGACGCTTGCCATATTCTGGTCTCAACTTTTGTAAAAACAGGCTTAGAAAAATCTTCTAGGTAATCTAAGCAAATAATCAGTTTTATAAATACTTGGATTATTGAACATAGAATCATAGAATGGTTTAGGTTGGAAAGGACCTTGAAGATCATCGAGTTCCAACCCCCCTGCCATGGGCAGGGACACCTCCCACTAGACCAGGTTGCCCAAGGCCACGTTCAGCCTGCTTCTTTCATTGCATAAGAGGCCTTTCAAATCTCTCTCTACAGGTGTAATCTGAAATGACGCTATAACTGGAGTCTTCAGAATCAGTGGATCATTGGGACGATATGAACAAACAATGGCTGGCAGAATCAAATTCATTTTTCAAGAATTAAACTACAGTCAAGGAGAACTAATAAATCACCAGTAAAACGTTCTGATAAATAAAAGGCTGATGATATCTAGGTCATTCTGTTCTAAATCTCACAAATACGATTCATCATATTAAGAACATATATAACACTAGCATCCAAGTTTCTAGAAATTAGATAGAAAATCATAGTCATTGTGGCATTTTCAACTTCAGTGTTCCATCCCTTACCTTCTTTTGCACAACCACGTTAAGATATCGAATTTCAAACTAACCTTGTCTGTTAGCAAGAAACCTGCAATATACAAATTAATTCAGAATTTCTAGGTCTGGCTATAATACCATCTCATTTTCACTCCTTGATTAACCCAGAAAAACAAAAAGTACTGTTACATTTGTCAGTCAATGTTGAATCCACAGTGTTTAAACCTTAGGGAAGCTTACACTGAAAACACACTTTATTCTAACAATGTGTTAAGGATTTGTTTACAGAGTTAAGAAAGGTTGAAGACGCTTTAAAGTATGTCTCTGCCCTCAGTCTTTTGTCCTTGTGACATATGGACAGCAGGAGATGACTTTAGATTGTAACCATCAAGAGTTAACAGAACACTACTCTTGAGAATGCTGTTCTCCCAAAGGGCACGTTTCTGAAGTCTCCTCACCCTTAGTACAATTATGGATTACCAGATGCCTGTGTGTGCAAATTAATTTTCAAATCACTTCTTAGGCACCCCACCTTTTGTTGGCCTCATTAGTCAAATGATAGAGATGTATATCCTCTACTTTCATTAGCTCCAGGCCTCTGTGAGAGTGCAAATGAATCTATACTTTAAAACCAACTTGAGTAAAAAGCCTTTCAGTATGTTGCTTAGTCATACCTGATGCCACTTTCTGATTAAGAAGTCAACTGAATTACAACTCCTCTGGTTCTTCCTTTCCCAGACGCAATGTAACTTGCATTGTAAAAATTCTCAGCGTCTTCATGACAGCTAACAAACTACGTAGCCTGAAAATATTATTTCTGCAAATCTGTTCAACTCTCAAGATTTACGATCTACTCTGAGGTATTTATAGAAGGCAAACATGACATCTCAATAGAATTGAAAACTAATTTGCCATTTGTGATCTTTCCACACAATTATTCATTTTTCATTCAGGTGACACTTCAGATGCACTTAGCTTTCTTCAAGTTAAAATATTTGTGCTTGGTTTAGGCACTGAAGTGAAGGTGAATTCATGTTTT